ACCATAATAAAATATTCAGGCATAATTTTATATACAAAAAGACTAGAATACTTGTCAAATCAAGATTGTTTTTTAAATCAAAAATATTTCATGTTGAAGTTACCCTTATTAGTTCATTTGAGCAAGGAAAGAATCTGGTTCAGACACTAGAAAAAGCACAACTGCCATCATCACTTCCGTTATACCAGCAAAACTCATTCCATCTATAGGTGAGAGGGAGTACATCAAGTCTGTCAGGGTCAGTTCCACTGCTGTGTCTTCTACTAAACAGTTTTATTGGTTAATTTTCAGAAAAGTACTGAATGTCTTTATGGAAAGATTGTTATAGGTGCTTAAATCAAGCAAAGATGAACTAGATAAACTCTGAGAGAACATAAACTCCTAATAATTATAGTAAAAGCAGAATCTGGAAAGTTCAAATACAAACCATGTATTAGTTTTGACTTCCTTCTTATATGTATAGTAAGTAACTGGTACTAAGCAAGTGAACCCATGAACAGCTTACCTTGAGCTATGATCCCACTGATTATCTATGATCTTACTTGGCTTAGTATAACACCCTTCTCCAATATTACCATATTCCAAACTAGGTATGTTTTTCAAGGTTAAGTAGTATCTTTTTTTTGAAATGGTTCCTCTGTTACTATCTTATGTAAATAAAATGAATATCTCTGAATAGCACTGTTTATAATCTGGAGTCCTGTGTACAAAAGTTCTCTACTGGATGTAAGAGTTGTCTCTCCAATACTCAGCAATGCATTTTGATAATTCTGGGATATAGTGCCCTCTTTATCCCCAGTTGGATAAGACCAAAGTATGGAGTCATATTACTGTGATATGACTAGGAGGTGAACCTGGCTTCGGATAGAAGCCAAAACCATGGACTGTAGAGTGAAGAATTGGAAAGAAAGCTGGATCCTTGATGACTAGATCAAACAACCATGAAGCCTATCCTGCACCTTCCAGTCCCCAAAGTCAGTCAATATCCTATGCTTAAGCTAGTGTATGGTGTATTGCAAAGGAACATATTAGCATAAATCTGAATTTCTTAAATTTTAAATACCAACTCCGAGTACAGTTTGGTAGCTACGATGAATAATGTTGGGTAAATGGATTGCTAGTCACCTAGTTTTGCAGCTAGAGGTCACTGTTATTCATTAGGAAGATGAAAATATTATTAAACAATTTTATGTCCAGTGCATTTTGATAATGGTGAACAGTTGACACTAAAATTTAATAATCAAATCATTAACAGTGACAAATAAAACACTGTGCTTTTCAAACTGAAGGACTTACAAATGTAACTGTAGTTTCACAGGTAAAAGTAATAGACACAAAAACAAACAACTTAAATAGAAATCGAGTGTCAGGTATAGCAATCAGAGAACGTTATAGAAGGTTGTGGGTCAGCTGGCTAAAAATGTAAGTGGGCCTGATTTAGACAGGTGCAAAAGGAAGGAGATCACAGAGGTAGAGACTAGGCAAAACAATCTGCAAAATAATTAGACTCCAAAGTTGGTGCTTTCAGTTTGAAACTCGTAAATACCGCTTCAACCTGCATTTCACATTGTTTTACACTTCAATTTTGTAAAACTCTGAACAAAAATGTCTGCTCTTCATCTCGTCTCTGCAAAAACTTCTCTGTCAATAAAGTTTGGCTTCCACAAGCTGAAAACATTATCATTACTCAAAATGATCGGGAAGCAATGTTAAAATCATGACAAAGGAAATTCTGTCTCACTATACTATTTTTTTCTTCCTCTGGCTGTGGGAAAACATAGATCAATACTCTTCAGCATGAGAATTTTGCAGTGAAATTTTCATTTGTAACAAACAGCAACAAAAAAAGCCTTAAGCGTGCCCTGTCACTTCCAGTTTAGGAGAAAATGCACTAATAAACTCTTACCCTTGGGTCATCTTTGACAACAGGCAATACCATGCCAGCTCTTATTAAAGACTATTCATATCACTGCCCCAAAAATTTCCCTTAAAATTACCATCTTTTGTACCCATGTAACAGGATGTCAACTTTAAAAGTGCCAATGAGCGATAGGACCTGTCAGCATAGTTAATTCTCAGCACTGCTTCAACACCAGGACAGCTGACCCCCAAGGGTATGTTTTTGGTCAGTAATATTTATTTGGTGGTTATCCAGACAAACAAGAAAATGTATTCTTCTATGTTAGGTGTCCAATAAAACAGCAAGTAAAGTATCACCCATAAGTATACATATATATAACAGCCTAAAGTATGTGGAAAGAAAAATAAAACAGCCCAAACTATCAAAATATATTTCTAAAAGGTTAGCAAACTCTGGAGAGCACATTCAAAGCACCATCAATTTTTTTTTTTTTTTTTTAGTTGGAGTCTCACTTTGTCACCCAGGCTGGAGTGCAGTAGCATGTTCATGGTCACCGCAGACTCAACCTGCTAGGCTCAGATGATCCTTTTGCCTCAACCTTCCAAGTAGTTGGAACTATAGGCATGCAATACCATGCCTGGCTAATTTTTAATTTAGTGTAGAGATGAGGTCTTACCAAGTTGCCCAGGCTGGACTCAAATGCATGAGCTCAGGCAAGCCTCTTACCTCAGCAACATCAAATTTTAACCCAACTTTTCCAACATAAAATTTTAAAACAACATTTATGGCAGGAGAAGGAAGGAAGGAAGAAGGAAGGGAGAGAGGGAGGGAGGGAGGAGGGAGGGAAGGAGGGATAAAGAACCCTCCTTTTATAAACTTTATCGAAATAATTATTTATTTCACAAGTAATACTCCCAGAACAGCTGTAAAAATCAGGCTTTAAAAATGATGATAAAAATCTACTTGTCAATTAAGATTAAAGGGATATCAGCAATGACAAAAGGATTCCTTTTAAAAAATAGACAGGCAGAAAATGCCCATAAAGAAGGAACTAGATACATAGAGGGAGCACTTGGATATAAGCATCAACGCTGTTTTCTACAACCCATCCAATAAATACATCACTAGTGACCTTCGTTGAAAAAAAATGTAAATAGTTATATATATGTAACTATATATAATATCATATGTGTTATATGTCACTGTTTAGTATTCAAAAGCACTCTGCGTACATGACGAAGACACTATCTCCTTCATATACCATACTACAAAGATATACTGAGTATGATAATTCAACAGCACACCCACATTCCTGAATCCGTAGCATATTAATCACCCTGAAGATTACCCAAGGAAAACTTCAGGTTTTTAAAATTAGGCTCAGGGAAGAGAGATGCCGGAACATCTCAACAAGCATGTATATACACGCACATGTGAACATGTGATAAATCGTTTCTCTGCCTAAACACTGGAGTGCAATACCATCATATTTTCTTATTATTCAATAAATTTGGACTTGTACAGGTGATATGAGTTTATTATGGTGACAGGGAAGAAGTTTCATTGAATATTGTCATATTTAATCCACAAAGATGAACTTTAAAAAAACATGAGCCCTGGGGTCTCCCAAGACAAAAGTATACAAGAGGCTAAAAGCATTATTCAGAAATGTTAATATGAGCGAAAGCTGGGGCGGAAAAGAATGAGCTCACCACAAGGAGTCAAAAACAGGAGGTTATATTCTGGTTCAGTCAATTATTCGATTTTCATGGCTCTGGGCAAATTATCAAATAGTCTGAATTTCAATTTCCTTCTCCTTAAAAGTATTAAAGTTTAAAGTATCAAAATTAAATACATCTTGAAATAATATATATAAAAAATATTTGACACCAGCCACTATAAAATATATTAACTACAATACAGAGCTATCTCATATCCTCCTTCCAGCCCCTGGGCCTTGGCATGTGCTGTGCTCTCTGCTTATTGGTGTATCTCTTGCCCTGCCCCTCTCTCCAGACTCCTCACCTGGGCAACTTTGTCTCAACCTTCAGATGCTTCCTCAAAGAATGCCTTCCATGAAACCTCTAACAATCTCAGCCTAGTTTACACATTCTTGTTGGGGTCTCCCAAACTTCTCCTTAAAGAGACTTACACAGTTTACAATTGATCATTTCATTTGTGCCAGCCTTATTGATGCTAGATAACATCCAGTGAAGCTTCTTTCCCTTTAAAATTTTCACATGGCTCAAGTCTTCATTTTTTAAAATTTCAGTTCAATTGCTACCTTCGCACAGCAGACTTCCATGCCACCTGAACTAAATCAACATCCTCTGTGATTTTGTCTCTTCGCTTTTCTTCATAACACACACTATGACTTGGCATATTTCAATATCTGTCTATATAGTGTGCTTAACATACTTCAATATTAAACTCCACGTGGGCAGGGAATTTGTATTTTATTTACAATTGTATCTCTACTATCTAGAACAGTGCCTGGAATATCACGGGGACTCAGTGCATTTTAAATGAATGTAATATACATTTTGTATTTGTATATATTTTTCCAGCATTTCAATACAGATATATATTGATAAATCATAATCCCTGACATTAGTATCCAAGTATGTTAATGAGGATTGCTTGGCGGTCCTAACTTTCTAAGGCTCTATAAAAGGTATTAATTAGTGAGCATTTACTATTGAGTTTTGATCATGGTAAAATGTATAAATCTACATGGAAATAAAACCTTTGACCTTGACTACATTGCCACAATGTTTTAGAGAAATGTAGCACCTGCAGAACTGTTTTAAGCAAGAACAACTAGATCTAAGGTTAAAATGCAAACTAGATGTTGGCAATATTGAATGAAGTATTTTATATGTTTACATTTTACCTACTAGACTATTGTAAAAACAATTCTTTCCATGGAAAACACTTGTTAGAAACTTAAAAAAAAACTTTACAACTATAGTGTTAATTTTATCTTAGGACAATATCAGAGCTTTTATAATGATATGGCTTTTACAGTGACTTGAGATCAAAAACACTGTGGTTTAAAAATCAATCAAAATATCTACAGAGTTGCTTTTGTTCTAATGAAGCCACGCAATTTCATGAAGTGAAAACAATTTTATCTTACCTCTCACAATAAGTTGAGCAAAATTGGACACACCAGAACCTCGTTCTGACTGAGTGACACAACGATACAAATCCTGGTCTGTTTTTGTCACTTCTTGCAATCTAAAGGAAGCGGCAAATCTTCTATGATTGATGTTCTTGGTCTGGGCTACTGGTATATCTTCTCCATTTCGCCTCTGCAAACGGAAACCAATCTTTAAAAACAGGTTCTTAACCTTCTATAAATCTAAAGCATCTTAGCAAGCAATATCTGTGATAAATTATTCTTGTTGCAAAAGACCTACAAATTCTTACCATTGTCATTCAGTCAGGAAAAGGATGTAAGGTAAAAACTGGTATCCTTTAAAGGGCAGAGGGCTGACACTACAGTAGTAATCTTGGTTTTCCACAAAATTGCTACTACACCAGAATAAATGAATTAACACCAGAGTAAATGAATTAACAGAGAGTTAATGGTACCATGGCAAATGATTCACACTCTCACAGGGTATACACACAAAATTCTTTTAGTCCTACTATAGTGCGTGTGCTGCAACAAGTTTGTCACCACCAGAAGACTGAGACCATGCCCTATATATCTTTGTATTCCAAATATGTAGCATGTGCTAGCCAGAGAATGGCAATAAAATACGGATGAATAATTCAGAGGCAATCCAAAACCGTACTCTTTGCTAACTTCTCTCTCTTTGGCATTAGTGACAAAGAAGTAGTCAAAACAGCCTAAACGTTAAAAGCATACCTGTCAACCTTCAAAATGAAATCTTAAAAACATATTTATGATATCAGGGCACCTCGCATAAGACCAATAAGTGTAAACTATAAAGAAAATGACTGAACAATCCAACGATAATAAAATTTGTAACTTGTATATGTTCAAAGACATCATGAATAAAGTGAAAAAAATCACTAACTGTGATAAGATTTTTGCCAAGGAAACGGCCATCAAAAGATAAATATCCAGGATATGTAAACACATTCTGTAGTTCAATAAGAAAAAAGATATATAACTCAATCCAAAGGTGGACAGGCTATAAAACAAGAAAATGTGTATGTCTAATAAGTGCAAAACAAGATTGTCAACCTACAATTTAAAACTTCTATATGTCAAAGAGAGTACAAAAGGCAAAAAGAAGCTACAACTGTGAGAAAGAAGTGGACAAGAACCTCAACCAAATTTCTTGGGGAAATGCCATCTCTGGCATCCATTCACACTACTTGAAATATTCCATACAACTAGATGTGAGAAACAAAAAAGATACAATTTTTGGTGGAATGGAAACCGTTAGAGCAATTTTAGAAAATGATTTGTTACTAGATAGTGACGTTGAGGATACAGAAACGTCAGGATCCAGCAATTCCACTTCTAGGTTTCTACATTTGAATCACCCTTGAACATGTAATCAAGGAGATATGTACAAAAATGTGGAACTCGGCATTGTTTGTGATAGTTAAATATAAAAAGATCCAAATATTTCTGAGCAGTGGATAGGTAAACTGTGTGTATTCATTCGATAAAATAATATAGCAGTTAAACTAAGCAAATTAAGACCAGCAATGTGTTGGCAAAATCTGAAACTAGTTCTTCAATGAAAATCACAAAATGCTAATTTGTGGCATTGGTCAATTTCTGTGGTGTAACTACCCCACTCTGGTCATGTTCAAATTATCAGTGTGGACCATTTGGCACTCAAAATTCCTGAAAACTTGACAATTTTCTGGTACTCATTATCTCCAGCATTTCACTGACTAGTACTACATTGTCTGGGTGCTGAAATCCCAGGGAAAAAAAAAAATTCTTGACAAAAATAAGAAATGAGACAAAAATATATAAAAAGTTAATGCCTATTAAATTAGGGTGGTGGATAGTGTAATGGCTATTTTATTGTTTTCTATGATTATCATTATGTTTAAAATATTGTATATTTTTGAAGAAGTAAATGATAAAGAGGATACTCTATTGCTTTAATAGTTTTCTAAATCCTAAAATCACTGTATATTTTAATACCCTTCCCCATACCTAGAATCACATATATGCATATTATGTAGAGTATGCATATGCATACATGAATACCTAAGGACACCAAGTTCCAATTAGAATTTTGCCATTTTTCATTCATTCGGTGTTTTGCTAATTCTTCTCTCCTAACCCACCCTATTCCATGATTTTTGCACCAAGATCTCTTGCTCATTCCCCTGGATAATGAGGAGAAAAAGCAGCTTATATTCAAGAACGCTGAAATATAAATCCATAAAATTAGCCTAAACTCTCTTTCCCTATAAACCACATAAACAAAATCTTTACACATGCAAATCTTTGACTGCATTTTTTTTCCAATTAGCACATCATTTCCATACACTTTTTCTAACTGGAAGGCAGACCAAGGCTCCATGCTTCTTACTTTTGCATAAAACCTCATCTGGTATTCCTCTAACTTCCCCTCTCAGTTGTGCTCTCAGCCTGTCACCTTGCTCTCTGTCATTTATATTTCTCAGCTCTTTGCAAGGCTAGTCAATTTCTGCTATCTGTCCGACCTTCTAGATTCTCCTGCAAATGTACTCATCCATCTGAGTCCTTCAGTTCTATGCCTTTCAAATCCCTTTTCCTCTCGTGAAAAGACTCTGAGTACCCTTCATGTATCCCTCTCAACAATCGTACTCCATCTTGTCATATTACCACTTCCTCAAAGGAGGATACTTTGTCCAGTACCTCACACTATCCGTCAGGAAGTGCTGCCATTATCCTGGTTACTAATCTGCAGACCGCTCTTCGTCCTTCCTCAAGCACTTCTCAACATCTGTAATTCCCAGTGTGCCCAGATATAATTCTCATCACTGGAAACATTCACAGACCACATTATCCTCTCCAGCTCAGTCCTGTGAATACTCCCAAAGATCCCCAAACTTACCTTGGCCCCAGTGATGCCCAACAGCTTCCCTTACCACCTTACAACATTCAAGTTCCTATTCTATGACACATTTCTCTGGAATCACAACTGCCAGCACGGGTCTGCCTCACATTCCTTCAATCTTCTGCATTGGTAGTGAGACTCATTTTCTGACCCTTTGCTTTATAGTCAGCCATGTCAAAGAGGCTTTCACTAGCCTGAAAGAATCTGGATTCTTTCAACTTTCTAGTGCTCATGCTTTGCCAACACTGAATTCTTACTATCTCTCTGCAGCTATTCTAAAACGACTTGAACTTTGCTGAAATCAATTGCTTGCTCTTATGAAAACAATCTGTGGTATCCAAAGATGGGGGTTGGCAATTTTTAGACATTCCTACTTGATTTCCACAGTGATCTGATCCATGGTGTCTGCTTCCTTCCTCTCTTCCTCAATGTCACATTCCTTCAGCATATACAGACTCTTCACTCTCTGCTCTTGAGGGCAGGGTCATGGATACTGCCTCAAAAACGCCATAAAAGATGAATTTAAAAAACATATTCACTGATTTTTCTATCTTAAATCTCTTCTACTATCCTATGTCTATATGGGCCCTTTTATATATTTGAATACTGGAATCATTCTGAAGGTAGGATTTCATGCTTTTTATATATATATTTCGTTTTCCACAGCATCCAATACATATTATTTTTATTAAGTGGTCACTCAAGTACTTGGCTAAAATGAATTAAATTCACTTAACATTTAAGAGACAAGAATAATATCAATCTTCTTCAAGCTTTAATAATTATAACAAATATATAATCATTAATGCTAATTAATAATAAAGGAAAGTTACATAAATATTGAATATCCAGGACACCAAGAAATCATTTACACCAAGCTATTTCAGAAGCAACTACAGCACAATTCAGAGAGATTGAGGGGTTTCCTTATGGCCATTCAGTCAGGATATCACAAAGCTGATACATTCCCTGATGCCTATAGTTATATGTATTAAAATACTAATATAACTATAAAATATATGTGCCTATATAGGATGTACATTATACAATTAATGAGTACAAAGACTGAGGTGCTATTTATCTCTTGAAATAAAATAGAAGTTAACAAAGTCATAATACTCAGGTTTATCTTTAATAGCACCTTCATGTACTTGGTATTACGTTAGCTGTGATTGGTTTCGTCCCTTCTCTCTGATGAAGAGTCACTTCCATGCAAATATCAGATACTCAGGATTCAGAAAGATTAGAAATATGATGCATGGCCTGTAAGTAGCAGAACTAAAAATTAAAACTAGGTTTGATGACATAAAATCCAGCAGTCTTTCCTCTAAACTAAACCCAAGTTATTTTCATTTTGATTATAGGCTCTGTCCAATAAATTGATTATTTGTTGTTGAGGGTTGATCAATGCATCGTCCCAATGTGCAAACGTACTCTATTATATTAGACACTGCTTTCTTTACTTGACTTCCAGTAATGCATTAGTTTAAAGTACCAACTGGCAACATGTGCATCTTAGAATTCAAGAATAATAACTTTTTCTCTTAAAACTCCAAATGACAGGTCTTTGCCCGACTACAAGCTATCATTTTATCAGAATAAGAAGGGCCATGAAAAAGACTATAAGAAGTGATGGTAAATTTCTCTCCTATGAAGTCATGTTTGCATACAATTCTCTGCTTTTGCTATGTTTTTCAGTTCTACGCTACTTATTCTGCTTGAGTTTTTTATATGATTTCTCTAATGCAAATATATCCAACTCTGAGAAGTACTGAGAAGTGAATCACAAAATTATATGATGCACGAGGCTATAACCTAGCACTTCCCCCCCCCCAGGTCCATCTCATGCTTTCTTATTTACTTTTTCTCCAGTACAGTTTGTTATATGGAACTTGTCACGTACCAAGCAACTCTAGGCAAGTCACTGTAATCCCTGAGTGCTATCACTCCTCTATTATGCTAAGTAGGCTTCATCATGCAGACTTCATACAGTGTTCATTTGACAAGTTCAGTTGCTGGTGGAGTATGGTGGTGATATTGGTTGATTCCCCAACATCTATTCTAACCAGGTTATTAGCCAAACACCTTACTACTCAAAGTATGGTCTACAGATCAGCAGGATCAGCTTCAGTTGACAGATTGTTACAGACACAGAGTCTAAAGATTGCTCTAAACCCATTGAACCAAAAATTCACATTTTAACAAGATCCCTAGGCTATACATCAATATATTATACCTTGAGACACACTAGTACATTAACACTAGGT